AGTCGGGTCGAGTCAGCAAATCGAAAACGCTATAAGATTTGAGTCGAGGAAAATTGCGCGTCGCCGCTTTAATCGATATTTTGACTCTCGAGACGAATTTCAGGTGAGTGAATCGGTCCCCTTTTCATCTGAGTATAGCTTCACAGTCAGTTGATCTTTAATCGTAACTATTGAACCGTCTGTGTCTCAAGACATGACACTCCAATCTGAGTATCTCATCTGAGACGAGAATTGAGAAACGACTATAAATACGGGCCCTAGGAGTAAATGCATGCCATAAATGAAGTAACATATTATAAATAAAAATGTCGGCCGTCAAAATTATTGTATGTCAACATTTGCATGTCTGCCGTATATCTGTACGTGTGATAACGTGTGCTATTTTTAAAACGGCATTGATTTACAGATTAAGCATTTTATGGCAAAGAGCCTTTCTCTGCAATGAAATATTTGTGTAATGTTAAAGAATGTATGTCTGTTTACGTACGTAAACTTAATATTTCAATAATATTGGGGCAGACGCGTTTTCAGATACAGAGACTAGCGAATTTTCCATCTGATATAAGTAAAAGTAATTTGAACAGAGTGTCTTTGTACGAATTTTGCGGAAATGAATTCCTCTTCGAGCACCTTTTTTTCCGCGACTGTCGTTGTAATTTTTATATTTACACAACCGTCGGAATGCAGGGGCGCTGCAAAGCTGCAAATGCAGTCTTACATTCCGCAATGAACGGCAGACCGAGTGACATTTTTGCGTTGTTACTCAACGTGCATTTCTTATCGGTGGTTATCGAGTCATTAACGAAACGGTTTGTTACGAGGACTTGAATTTTATCGCTTAACTAATGCCACGATCTCTGTTGTTTAATAGACGGCGATTCGCTTAGCTCGAGGCGTAGCTTTGTCTTGGATAACGCTTTTTGCAAACACACCACTCCTTTCGTTAATTTAACGCCGCGCAAATCGTGTCTCGTAATTACATTTTTACCGTAATACTGTAATACTATTTTTAAATTGTTACACTTTCTAATATACGAGCTCCGAGCAGCGAATTTGATATTTTCTTTACGCTTCTAAAATCGCAACTTCCAAGATATGCGGAATTAATAAGCTTCATACGCGTGCGTCTGTGATAAAAAGTTTATCATTCATATTTATAAATACATACTATTAATTTTCCCTTTTTTTTATTTGTGTATTACTTAATCGAACCGTCACGTACGCGCGCACTAAAGTCAAGCTGGTTAGATAAGTTAAGATAACAAGAGTGGAAGAGATACGTTCGAAGACGCGAGAAATCGCGCCGCACAATTATAGATGAATCACGCATCGTGGCATCCAGTGCCTCGTAATAATTACGAGAAATTACGTAAAAAGATACCGACAGTGTTCATAGAACTTTATGCTCAGCCGGCAGTGCCGGGATGAAAATTTTCCGGACCCTGGCTGCAGTAATTTTCAAACAAGTTTTCCTGTAATGTCAACAATAATGCCAATAATAATGTTACGTAAAGGCGTTGTGAAATTTGGCAGAATAAATGTGAGAAGAACTAGAAAGGATATTAATTTTAATTTTAATCCTTGCCTTTTTTTTACTCCAAAAAACATTTTCGTCCGTTTGAATTTATTCGGTTTCGTAAGATTTCATTCGGCTTACTGAGATATCTTTTTATTTCATTCAGGCGTCAAAGAAATATCATCGCATTCTCCTCGACATGAGCAACGAAGGTAACAAAGGACCGCCGAGCGCCATAACGCTCGGCTTCTCGACACTGACGCATTTTCTGCTCGTGGCTCCAGTGATATATATCCTGGTAGTTGCCTGTCAGAACTACAGTTTCTTCTCTTGGCACCCCATTTGCATGTCTGTTGGGGTAAGTATGGAAAGAGCGAAAGAAAAACCGCTTGAATATCCCCTCTGAGAAATCAAACGTAGCCAGTTTAATCTCCAGTCAATTGATGTACTGCAGGCATCTTTTATCGTTGTCATTATTTACGGCAATGCTGATCAATCAATCAAAATGATGACTAAATGCGCCCCTTAATCTTTTCGTCCCAAGATTGCATTGCAATTTGATAATTTTCAACATTTTGCCATTCTCGCGGCGAAGGTCGGTCTCCTGGTCGCAGAAGCCGTCTTCAGCGTCTCCGGCGAGGCGTACGTCTCTTGGAAACTACCCAGGCGCAGCAGAGTGACGATACACTGGATTCTACACACGATTGGCCTGACCGTAATTGGGATCGGTTTTATCATCATCATCGTTCACAAAGTCAACCATAATTATCACCATTTCGCCACGACTCACTCGCAGCTGGGCTTAACGACGATTATACTGACCGTCCTGGCCGCCACTTTCGGAATCCTGGCGAATAACACCGTCTGGATATATCCGCGCGTAAGGCCGATACTCGTCAAGGTCGCTCACGCTTGCGGCGGCATTGGCATAACCATTCTTTTACTGGCTACCCTCATCAATGGGACCTACAGCAATTGGTTTTCCGCCGCCGGCACCGACGTCGGAAGAGACTTGACGTTCGCGTCGTTGTTCTTCGCGGGCGTCCTGATACTCGTGAAACCGATCCTCGGCGCTGTTTCGAGGTGCAGAGTCATATTCGGACCACCTTCGAGCGACACGTAAGACCTCGTTGACCGAAGTCCGGCGCAAGTCTGAAAGACGATTTATGACGTCGGGACGCGGACGACGTGCGGGAGTTGTAGCCCGAAAGTAACATCCAAGGGTGTCCCTGCTCGATCGACGAAAAATTCATTTGTCTCAGCAATTGTTAAACTGATTGGATTTCGCTCGACGAACTTGGAGAACAATAATGAAATTTAGTTTCGGCAAGTGGGGTCACTCTCGAAGCAACTCCTGTAAAATATTCAACGGAACAGTGAAAAGCCAAAGACCATAGAATTAAACCCGTTATTTGAATTGTTAGCCCCATCGCGGATGTTGCCTGTACGAATTAAAGAAGGGCGTGTCGTTATATTAGAAACCAGTCATGGCGACAGCCATGAGATTAGAGATCTGACAGCACACTGTTAACCATGTATACCAACACTTTATTGATTGCACACGCATCATAACATTTATTACGCATACATAACATTTATTATGCACCACAAATTTGCACATATGCGCCCGCATATGTATTATATACTCGTGGATGTGCTTGTAACATAGATATATATATTTTTTTATAATGCAATGTACATATATAACACAACGTATTTATTTGGCATCTTTTTAATACCTTTATATACTAAATTATATACTAACTATACATATATGAAACATATATGTAGAACTCTCACATATATTAACACTTAATTGTTAATAGTATAATTTAGGCTATTAATTATTAAAGTTATTAATTATTAATAACTTTCATCTTGAGAGGACCCAGTCTCCCTATTTGTTTTTTATTTCAATCAATCTACTCAAAATTGTTTTAAATTACACAACAGTATCTCAGCGGCACAGTGCACTGACCAAATATCGGCGAAACGTTGGCCCAATGCAACCAAATGGGCCAATGTTTAACCAATGCACTATGTGCTACTAGGGTCCGGTTTCGCCAAACGTCGCTTAACTTTAATCTCAGCTTAATTCATGCCTGTCTCTTTAGTAACAGATGGAAAGAGACAAAGAACGAATTAAGCTAAGCTTAAAGTTAAACAACGGCGGTGAAACCGGACCTAGGAGAGAAATGACACCTCGACCGATGTCAAAACGACGCCGAGTCGACATCAATTTAACCGCGTCTTTTTCGTCGGGCTGTCAACATACATTCTACTTTTTCTTTATTACATTCAAGACATATGTATAATATAATCATCTCTAATCTTTCTGTCTTTTCAACGTGTAAGTCTCTCTCCTAATATTGTACATATCCATTCAAGGCATTATTGTGTCCTGATGTGTACGCCATTCAGTATGTTCTCCATTAAGACATCAGTATTTCGATGCTACAATAAAATTGCTCTTTTGCAGAAAATATTTGTCCCAATAATTGCATCGTGCATGCCAGTCGTTAATTATACGAAGAAAACACACTTTTTCTTCTTACAAATTTATTTGGCGAGGATACTTGAGAAAAGAGTCCTTTCCGCTAACTTTCTGCCATGAAGAAAAGAGGCTTCTCTTGAAAGAAACCGCCTTTTTTTTCTATCATATGCAACTGGGACACGTTAATTTGTACTGTTCGCTCTACTGATTGCTCGTAACGATGTCAGAACCGTAACCACTGCGCGATGACAGCTAAACTTTCTTTGCGTAAATATTCGACACAATTATAATAACGAAACATCACTTTGTTTTACTGTTTAGTTCTTTTCAAATTAAATTTAAAAAATGCTCGAGCGACATATAAGATGTTAAAGTATCGCAACTTTCTTGAACGAAGAGACTTACTTGGGGAAATTATGTCAAATAACGCTCGATTTAATATCGCTAGTACCATCGTGTTACCGCTGTGTCGTTATGGTTCATAATGCGTCACTGCTCTTAATTCTACTTATTATTAGAACAGTCAACCATCTTACTTGGTCGGCATAAGAACCAGCCAACATTGTGACTAACATTAAACTAATTGTCATTATTTTACGGCGAGGCATATATACATACAATCATTGTGTGGAAGGTCATGTCATACATATTAGGTAACTAGCGCATGGTCTAAAAACATTAAAGTTATTGAACATTCAACTGGCTTGGCGGAACATTTACCGAGGAGGGAAACAGTCATGTAAATTCCGCTATCTCGAAACGCAGCTTACTAAAATACATTTTTCTTATCCCGTTTTCAAGCTCGCCAATATCTGAAGTACGTTCTCACGACAGTATTCAATACTACAACCCGACACGCGTTTGCGAAGGTTCCAAAAATCATCTTGGATTGTTTTAATCTACGAGTCTTTTAAATTTGTTTTATTATACTCTACCACTAGTCGTTGGTTTTCTAATTTTGCAGTTATTGCATAGTGTTTTTTATTTTAACTAGAAACGATAAAACGCGCGCGCAGTTTGCGGTCAAGCATTGTATATTTTTAAGAATTTGTATACACGCGAAGAAGTAATTGTATGCGCAACGTCAATTTAAAATAAAAAGTAATTTGTCACTCACTGATACAGTTCGCAACAGCAAAGTTTTACATCGCTGACTATACATGTTAAACAGTAACAATACAAAAATGTATACGATTATTATAGACTAATTATGTAAAATCCAGACTATTGTACAATTAAATATACTTTATATTTAATTTTTTAAAGTGTCTTACATTTTTGTTATTTGCTTGTGCAAAGTGAATCATCTGTTCTGTGCTTTTATTTTATTTATTCAAATGATTCCAACGAGCATTCGAATAAGTGTTAGAGACAAAACCATGCGTATAAAATTTTTTTAATTTGTATTTAAAAAGAAGACTTTTTCAGTATTCTATAATTATTTTAATAAATACCCATTTTAAAAAATATAAAATATAGTTAGCGATATACAACTTTGCTGTTGCGACTCGTATCAGTGAGCGACATATTATTTTTTATTTTAAAACGACGTTGCGCATACAATTACTTCTCTCTCTCTCTCTCTCTCTCTCTCTCTCTCTCTCTCTCTCTCTCTCTCTCTCTCTCTCTTCGCGTGTGTACAAATTCCTAAAAATATACAATGCTTGACCACAAACAGCTCGCGCGAAGCGCGCGTTCTGTCATGTCTAGTATTTCTAAATTGTAAACTTTCATTTACTCTGAACCTAAAAGAGAAATGAAGCACATTGCGCTTCGAGAAAATCAATCGGCATCGCGGAGAAGGGCCTTAACTGTTCGATATTAACGACATTCGCGCTGGTAACATCTCTTTTTTAGTAAGAAGATTACAAATAAAGGTTTTTGATTTTCGCTTCGTCTTTAATGTATGTACTTACAAATGTTAAACGACTCATGAGCCGCTCACCTCGTAAGATTCAAACGAGATAGAAGTCTCGAAAAATATTTCGCACTAAAAATGACAGTGCGAAAGTATGAGATACTGACTTTCTGGCGTGGCATATATCACGCGGCGAGGAGTAAAAACTATTTCAAGCAAGACACGCTTGGAATAATTGGCATATAAATATTTCCACCTTAATATGCAAATTTCTTTCCGAGAACTAAGGCCACTCTCTTTGTTTATAAAGTTATTCATTTACTCCGGAGTCAAGTTTCCCTTGAAAAAGCTGTCAAGGCATCAGTAGTTTCTTTTTAATTGTGATAGAGTGAGATCTAATTATTCTGCTACATTATCACATAAAATTATCCAAGAAATACTTTCCATAAAAAATAAAGGTTCGCGATTTTTCCCGTTTTACGTTACTGCTCGCCAACAAGTCTACACTATATCCTTCTCCATAAATTCGCTAGTTATAACAGATTTCGCGATTTTTCTTGCCTACCCTTCGCTATCGTTTTCTTCAGCGTATCCAAAGTATTTAATCTATTCCCTGAATGCCTTTGTACGCCAAAGAGATCGATATAATATTTGAGAATCTCTTTAGACGATACACATATCTACAAGATACAGAATTTAGCTACGATATATCTCTGTAAATTATATCTACCATGTTTGCGAGAGAGATTGGCATACATAAATATGTGTTCTCAGTTTCTCTCTTCACACTGCCCCGTAGACATAGTAAATATAAACTGAGCGTTCCATTGAATAAGCTGAAGCTTGTGAAGAGAGAGACAGAGACGATTTAAGAAGACTTTCTTTCTCTGTCTCACCATCGTGAGAATGGAGAATGCCTGTGTAATACTGCGCAGGCACGATTCTTTTCTTTTACGATGGTGTAAGACAGAGAAAGAAAGTAAAGTCCTCTTAAATCTTCTCTCTCTCTCTCTCTCTCTCCACAAGCTTCAGCTTAGTCAATGGGACGCTCAGTCTATATTTACTACGTCTATGCACTGCCTACTTAAATTTTTTTGTTCTATTTGTTAAATATACTATAAACGCGTATATTTTATTATATAAATTATATGTGTATATTTATATTTTCTTTCACAATAAAAATAATTAGTCGATTAAAAAAATAAATGTTTTTCCATTGTGAAACAATTATCTTTTGTGTACGATACCTTCCATTCCACTTGGAGGATAAGATGTCAGCGATTTTAAAAAAAAAATAATACAGTCTACATCACTCTTTGTAATCCTTTTAAACTTCTTTTAACCACCGAGTTTTACATAACATTTACATCTCCTGACCATAAACTTTTAGTATCAACTACTTATTCAGGCTCCTCTATCAATGTCAGGGAATTATTCGATCGACGTTCTTTTATCATAAAAGTGTTGCAATTTTAATTCATCCAAAAAGCACGAAAAATTATAAATATTTATAGACTGTATATAGTTAATAAAAAATCCTCTCCACTTGCTTGAGCGCAATCGATCGTGAAGAATGTGAGGATCGTGCCTAATGATGAAAGTTATATAATTTTCGATCAACTTCGAGTTCGAAACATCCCAAATTTAATGCTTCTGGTGAATTTAATAATAATAAAATAACTGGCGTATTGGCAATCGCGGTTGACAATGTACACAATGTCGACATTACGGGAATACTTTTTCATGTCGAAGACAGACTTACTTTGCGTTAGGGACACTGTCTTCAGCATCGTTCTTCTAAGGATTCGTCACCGAACGTGAAACAAACGTGTCGTGTCACACTTGCTGCGAGGTAATCAGATTAGTTTTACTAGAATTCTTCAGAATCGATGGTCCGGGGAGCTTCTGAGCAGTTGGAATGACGCTGGGTGGTTGTATCATCATTGGCTGACCGTTTATCAGGATAATCGTATCCCGCACCGAGTCGTATCCTCCTGGGTTTGCTGCAAGACGTTAAAAAACATATAACAATTTAGCGCTCAAAATCATTGCCATTCAAGTTAACGAACAATCATCACCTAAGGAAGCCATCAGAGTTCTGGAAGGTGTCATAGACGACGCCGGGCCCCACTTGGATGTCGGCTGCAACAATATCTTCGCGCGGTCCCATATGTTCTTACTTTTATTCTTGTTCTTTTCCTTCCCGGCCTTCCTGCAAGATCCGTCCAGCTCGTCGTCGTCGTCGTCGTCGTCATCGTCATCCTCATCGTCCTCGTCGTCGTCATCCTCTTCATCGTCATCGTAGGACGAGCGCCGACGCCGTCCCTTTAGCTGATCCTATATTCATCACTTTTCGTATAACAATGCACGTTCATCGGCGTGATGTAATATTTAGATAAAGAGGACGTTCCAACTTACTATAGCTAGCCCGACAATTACTAAAACGGGAAGCATACTGACTACCCAGCCTAACACATCCGCCCATTTCGGATAAATGTAAGCTCCATACTTGAGTGGTTCGTACTCCACCCAATTGAAACAAAGGATGAAGAACAGCGCCGCAGGTGTGATGAGTTTCCACATCCATGTCCAGAAGAATCTCCACAAACGGTCCCGGGGTCCGATCATCTGCTGAACGTCGTCCAAAAAGCGATCCGCACCATACACCCACGCCACGAGGATACATTCGCTTATGGCGATCAGCAGGACGGACCAATTGGCCGCGTATTTATCCATTAGTTGCAGCCAGTACATGCCAGCCTGAAGAGAAACAGACGATTTGCAATAGTACGTTAAAGATCAATTCCGTATTAATGAAATCGTTGGTGACTCACGTTAGTGGTGAAAACGACACCACCGGAATAGCCGACCACCGCAGCTCCTAAGACCACCCAGATTTTATAGCTTCTCAACGATGGGACACCGTCGAGTATCGCCGTGGTGACGGTCTCCATCAGAGCAAACTGTGAATCGAGGCCCAAAGTGAGCAGCATGATGAAGAATAGCAGCGACCAGACGGGCGCACCCGGCAGACGAGCCACAACCTACGCGTAGTCAAAGAATCGTCGATCATTTGATCCCAGGGCATAACTTCGAGCGCCAACTCATCGATGGGAAGCCATTACTTATCCGATTATTTTTCTTTAACACGTGGATGATGTTGATGTCGACGGGGAAAAGAATGCAAGATTGATTGAATCGAGGGCATGGGTGCGGAAAATTAATAATCACCTCTGGATAGACAATAAATGCCAAGCCAGCGCCTTCGTCTACCACCGACGCCACCGGTACGTCGAGCTCGTGAGCAAGGAAACCGATTACCGAGAAGATCACCATGCCGGCGAAGAAGGAAGTCCCAATGTTGCTGATCGCCACGATTAAGGAGTCCTTGTAGCAGTTGTTGGTGAACTTGTTGTACGAGCTCAAAGTGATCAGGCCTCCCCAGGCTGGACTCAAGGCGAAAAAGATCTGTACGGCAGCGTCCCCCCATACTTTGGCGGACATCAGTCTCCTCCAGTCAGGAGTCAGATAAAAGAGTATACCCTCCTTAGCACCGGGAAGTAAAATTCCGCGAATAAAAAGGGCGATCTACGAGAAAGAAGTACGTTTGTTTAAAATACGCTAAATTATTTACGTGCGTTGCAAACGTACCAGGACAACGTATGGAAAAAGAGCGGTGAAGTAGACAACTTTGCCTGAGCTTTGCACGCCTTTGCTCAGGCAAAGGAACACAATGATCCACGCCAGAAAGAGGCAGGCCGCCAAGGACGGTCGAATCGATCCAGTTTCCTCGATCCCGCTGCTGATCCCCAAAACGTAATTGCTAGACGCAAAGAAATTTTCTTCTGAAGAAAATTGTCTTTTAAAATGGAGGGAAAAAATTAAGAAATTGTCTTTTATTTCTTATTTAAAATTGTCAATGTACAATATTGCAAATTATGTTTAAACTGAGATTAGCTTTTCTTCTTACAAATGTAGCATAATCTAAGACAAAGCCAACGCAAAGGTTCAGCAGGGAAAAAGAAAATATATTTGAATCATATAAATACAGAAGGACAAATAATTTAAAAAAGCATCTGTACGGCGTATGTCATTACTGAAAATATTCCTCGGCTGGCGGCCTCCTGATAGCGCCGGTTATATTTTCGATAATCAGGCCCATCGCAGTCATTTGATTTGAATTGACGCATTGTCTTTTGAAATAAAAAGCGTTTTGAGAGACGCAAGCCTCGGCAGCGTCCGGCATGAAGCAATCCTCGGTGCTCCACTCCTTCTCGCATTTGCTCCAAGGCAATTCCCAACCGCCTGAAAGGACTCAAGTAAGTCTTCGGAAAAGTAACATTATACTTTCTACTTTTACTTGGTCTTCACTCGTAAACTGTGTCACGTATATCTGTTTTCAAATTTATTATTTTTTTACGTCAGAGCTTTATAAGCTACACAGTTGCAATAGTATCCCAGTAAACATCGAGCATCAGTTACATTGCATTTATGTTAGAATTTCTCACACATTTACATTGTTGAGTGAGAAATCCTAACATAAACCCAGTGAGAAATGATTCGTCGAAACGATGTCGAATCGACGTTCATCGACGTTGACTCGACATTGTTTCGACAGCGATCGACGAGTCATTTCTCGCTGGGGCATGCAATGTAGCTGACACTTGGCGTTTACTGGGACGTTACGTTGAAGCTAACGACAGGTCAAATCATGCATAGGATATCTTGCGTATATTAATATTGTCATTTACCAACGACTGAGGCAAACATGTAGTACAGCGTCCAGGCGATGATTAAATTATAATAAAGCATGACAACGGAGCTAACGAGGACCATTCCGTATCCTAGGCCACAAAGCAGAGGACAAAACTGCTTGTAAAGCGCCACCGGTCCGAGACTGGCGTATTGTCCTGCAAAATAAAAAAAACGTATATATATCTATACGAATCATGGTAGCACGAATAATCCATATTACGAATTTCGAAGTGTTTCATTGATTCCTTTCGTTGATCACCTAAGGAAAGCTCCATGAACATAAGAGGCAATCCGGCGATGATGAGCATCACCGTGAACGGTATCAAGAAAGCACCGCCGCCGTTCGAGTAGCAAAGATACGGGAATCTCCAGACATTTCCCAGACCCACGCTGTATCCCAGAAGAGACAGAAGAAAATCGAATTTTCCGGTCCAAGTCCCGCGCTCCGGGTGTTCGTCTTCCCCGTCCTGCAATGGTGCTTGACTGTTCGCCACTGAGTATTTGTCTTCGTTCTAAAAAGGATCGACGACTGTACTTTATTCGCTTTAAACGCTTTTACATGGTATGCGATCTGGAAAGTAATATTTATCAAATTAATGTGAACTTTGCTTACATCCCAGTCCACGTAAGGACGTACTCTTGAAGACGCTTCCTCCATTTTCTATGCATACAGTCTCTTGCCGTAAGGTTAATTGCTTCTTCGTTTTCTCATGGCTACCGGCGAGTTGCGCCCACCAAAGTTCAATGTTAATTGCTAATTCTCTTTGGTCAGCGAACTTCCTATGCGTCCATTTCTTATCCTGTATACCAATTTTTTTATTGAATATCGTTTTAATGATGCTCTTTTATGTTCATCTACCGAAGCTAAACTTTCTTAGACATCTAATACAAAAAGTTAATTTTACTCAGATACTAAAGTGGCGTAAAAAAAGACGTAAAACAATGGGCTTTGGATACGTCGAACGTGCACGTCGAAAAGGCAATTTTAAAAAAGTTAAAAGTGTTTAACGGCATTTCATGAAAGAAACATTGACATCGGAGAAAGATATAACTTTCATACTTTCCCCAATAAGTCAATTTATTGGATTGAAACTTAAACTCACTAGCATATTAAATTTAATCGTAAAACTTCAAATTTCTTCCTTCGTCATTTTGAAATATCGATTTTGGAAAGAAGCAGAAAATCGCTTGAACTGCCTCGTTAAAATTACATACGATAACATAAAAAATTAGCGAGGCAGTTGTACATCCATAGATCCCGGAATGACGCTTATCGTGTTTCTATCATACAAAATCATGCACGTTCATACATTCGCTTAAGTACGTTAATGAAGAACCGGTACCAGCTGACGGCCGCCGGATACCACTGACCTACCTGTCAGCCTTGACAGAGAAGCTCGTCAAGGTCAGACTCGCACTGTCACTAGATTTCAAGGTCGACGCGTGGCAGACCCGAGTCGCGGTTATCCGTGGAAGTCCGGTAGAAAGAAGGAGAGCAGGAAAACAGAACCGGAGAGGAAGTAAAGGGAAAAGAAGGCGAGAGATTGGGATGAACAGAGGCGAAGAAATGTGTGGAAGACTGTTCGGGCAGCGCGAGAGCGATCCGTGCCCGGGCAGCTGACCGGCCTGTCTGCCTGTCTGATTATAGGAGAGCTTTGGCTACATACAACCCTCTTCGTCTCTCCGGAGAGCTCGACGCTCTCTCCTCGTTCCCGTTCTCCCTGTTCCCCTGTGTTCACCCTCTCTCTCTCTCTCTCTCTCCCTCTCGTTTTCGCCCCCGCAACGGGAGACCAAGACCTGTCGAGCCTCGAGCTCCACTCCGGATCGATCGATGTTACTGCTCCTGCGAGTTGCTGTGCTCTGCTCTAAACCTTAGCATCCTCTCTCTCACTTCGGCCTTCCCCTCGGTGCTATCTCCTCCAACTATACGATTGGCCCAGGTTTATCCTCGGTGAGATGGATGTAGGCATTTGCATCTATCCTCTTGCGAGGGCAGGTCGCGTGGGAGGTACAGAGATGAAAAGCAAAGTCACCCGGCATTGCTTTTGACGTGACTTTCGATCGCTGAGTGCTTCTTCATTATCCATGAAGCCTCCGGACTTTTTAGACATTTTCAATTACTATTAATAATGAAAACATCGCGAGGGAGGAAATTAGAAGTTCCTTCGGGCAGTTAAAACTGATTTCCAATTTCCTTCGGGCTACTGCAGTTAAAAATTCATGAAGAATAAGGAATTAAAAATTAATCACGCTAATCCGAATAAATTTCACGCAGCTCTGAAACACTGGGACAAAAGGCAAGAGCAATTTGCCTTTCATTAATCTTCTTCGCACATATCAGACGCTGTTGCACGCAGTTTGCTTCGATTTCTCACAAAAAGTCGTCGACGCGCGATTGATTTCCAATGAGTAATTGTCACCGGCGTCGTCAATAAAAACCGCCGCGCCGTTCTCTCCTGAACAATGCACAATGAAATCTGTCTCGCAATTCCGTGCCAATTGATACTCTCACAATTCATCCCTATTCACGCATCACTTTCGCGTCAACGCGCGTAAAAAATTTCGTACCGTCGATTTGCCACTCGGTTTAAACAAAGGCCACGTGGCAGTCCTTTTCCCAAGCATATCTTTTGTGAGAATTTCAGGCGCGATGGGAAGCAATTAAACGTCTCCACGGATCAATATATTGATGACGATTTAATTCTAACAAAAAAGTGTGAGTACTCTAATACATAATTTTTGTGTAAATTTGAAAAAGTCGCGCTCGATTTTCTCGATACTTTCTGCGTTTAGCGTAACATTAGTGTCCACGAAATGCTTGAACATACCGGAAACGTTCTGCATTTCTTAATCAAGTCGACGATTGGTGACGACAAGGCGGTTCAATTAAAAAGGCACAAATAAAATTAACTAATGTTCGCACCATGCGTATACTCTTGCGTATACGGCGCCGTAAACACCTCGGCCGAAAAACCGAGCGCGGTTTCCAAGAAATGACGTAGCGCCGCAAAAACACCTCGCTCGAAAACTGTGTCGGATCAGTCGAGCGGGACGGACGTTCCCGCGTGTCTTCGCGTCGCTCCTCGCAACGCGTTTAATTAACTGTCGCGATTCGTAATCTTATCGTTGATTTCCGCGATGATCTGTCGAGATGAGTATCGCGCGTAATTTGAAGTAGCAGTGCAATAAGGGGATTACATACATAAATTAACAGTCAATTTCGATACATCCGCGAGCGATGATCTCTTTTTTAACGATCGAACTCGGACGAATCTCTCTCACGTCGTGCTTTAAAATGTTCTTAGGTTTGAGCTAAACATTTATCACTTTCAGATTCGAGAGCGCAAAGTAATATACGGACCGCCGGGTAAAATAATGACGGAAAGTTATAACATATCGATCGCTTGCCAAGAAATAATAATCTCTCTGACATTTACACGTACAAATTGTAAAGTTTCCATTTCCGGTCAGTTTGAATTCCGGTTCCAATTGAACGCAGTTCTGCAATGCGGAATTAACTCTAAAACCTGGCTGTTCCGATAGAACAAATTTCGCGAAACATTAGAAATAACATTCTGTGCGAACGTCAAATAATGGCCGATAATCCTCTTCAAATGCTGTGTGTTACACGGTTCTTTTTACAGATAAGAGTTGAATCATTTTTGCGTAATATACCATAGGCCTTCGCGACCACTTGGCGATATAGAATTAAAAATCACGGAAACGTCATTGTCAATTCCCTATTGCATAACGGCATGCAGTTGTTCGTTGCGCTAATTTACGAGACGGCGAACGAATACCTTGTGCGTCCCTTCGGTTACGACGTATCTAATAAAATGCGGTGAATACGGGAAATGCACCACGGAATCGTACTTTGCTATTTAGTTGTAATCGAGTATCATAATTGTAATTTAACATAATTTCGCGCGTGAGTGTTTGTGAGCGTCGCCAAGAAGAAGCAATAACGGAAGAGTAAACGAAGGGAGAAAGGACAGGTTCTGAGATAATCGTCAACGGATGACGGCAGAGCAACGAGAAGTAAGTGCGATATTTTGTTTTATTTTATTTATCTACTGTTGCGAGATTGATCGACGGGCGAATAAATGACAGATCGATTTTTATGCATACGCTTATGCGCCTGTGCAAGTTTGCCTGGATAGACCCTTAAGATTCATTTATGCGCATATACAATACCTAGAGGTGTGACATTTTGATGTTATCTTTATACGCAAAACATCGCAAAATGCCACAGGGACGTTCTTTACATTTTGGAGTCCCCCAATTTCGTTTCAACGCGTTTTCAAAACGCGAAATAACGCAAAATAGCGTCCAAATAACGTCACAAATCGCAGTTTTCCTCAGTGAACATTTATAACGTCAATGTTGTATCCTAAACCAAAGAGATTTATACCTTAGACTGGTTTTGTCTACTTTTTTCGTTACTGCTTCTATAGCCTGAAAATGATATGTAATTTCAGTAATTTGTTCCATGCTATTTTAATATGTTATGTCTCATGTTACATGTTTTAACATATGTTCAGTCTTAATAAATATCGTAAATTGTTCCATCAAAACATTAAGGCTTTCGGTTTCACCAACGTTGTTTAGCTTTAAGCTCAGCTTAATTCGTTCCTTGCCTCTTTCTAAGGTAACAGTTTGAGCAGCAGACGATGCTATTTTTCCTGCTGGATTGCTTGCGATTTACTAAATTACTAGGAATCCCGAGTGCTGAATGGTGCAACGATAGCAATTTATTAGATTGCAAGCAATCCAGCAGAAAAAAAATAGCATCGTCCGCAGCGGGCTTTACTTGAAGTCCTGCCGCGCAAAATTTGAATCGCGCGATAAATCGAGAGGTCGATCTGCCGCGCCGCGGCCGCGATCAATCGAGAATCGCCGCGCGCGCCAGCGCGATAACTCGCGGCGCCCCCCCGCCCCCCTCCTCCCCGTTGGTGCTGATCGCAAACGGTAGACGTCAGTAGGCACAGAAAGCAAAAGAGACGGCGGTGGTTCTTTTTCCCCGAGCGAGCTCTCTGGTTACCGCGAGCCGTTCGGAATCGCCCTCGAAATCCCCCGCCGCGTAAACCGGGGCGATTCGCTTAGCCGTCCATTTCTCTAACCTCCAAAGCACCCGGAGAGACTCCCAGGCCCAAAGATCGTCCCCTCTTTGAGGATCATCTCGAATCTCTCTCTCTCTTTGTCTAACTCGTTTGCTCGCTGCCTCTTTCTCTCTCCCGTAGTTTCATCTATCCGTCCTCTCTGTCTCGGCCTCCCATTATCACTTCCCTATTTTTCTATCGCCTTTAAACTCCGTCTCCCCCTCCCTTTCCCCCTCCCCACCCCACCGAGTCTCTCTCTCTCTCTCTCTCTCTGACGTATCGAAAAGTGTCCCTCCGTGTGGAGAACCCGATCGTTCGCCGACACGCGACGTTTAAAGAACACGGCGAACGAGCAGCGAGTACCGTGCGACGTTCACCCCGACCTGTGGTGCCGAGTGCGGCGGGGAATCCCGGCGGTGTCCGCGTAGACGGCGGATAGTTGCTGGCGCGCGCGCGAGAGACGGATCGGATCGGTGCGCGGCGGCGGCGGCGACGACGACGGCGGCGACGGAGCTCGCGGTGGCCCACGGCTCATCCTCCCCGTCCCCCAGCGAGACAGGCAAAATTCCGACGATTTGCGGTCTATGAGCGCCAAGAGTCAGGGGGACCCTGGAGAAGATCACGTTTCCAGGTGTCACGAGTGTCGGCTGCGCCGTTAGCGTCGTCCGCGAGAGAGAGACGGAGAGAAAGGGGGGAAAAAAAATAAGAAGAAGACACGCGCTCGTTCTCCTTCGCGGCTGTACGACGGCGGAGGAGGAGGAGGAGGAGGAGGAGGAGGGGCAGGGGGGGGGAGAGCATCGTTTGACAGCGGGGTCTGCTCCGGGGATTCTCGCGATCGCGCCCCGAGGGGAACGCGAGTGTCAGAAATCGAGACGTCGAGCCTACGCAAAAATTGTGCGCGGGGGATCCTTTTTTTTTTCCGGCTACTTTCTCGCCCCTCTCCCTCTCCGTCCCCTCCCCTCCCCCGGTCTTTCTCCCACGTCTCGCTCTTACTCGCCCGAGAGTATTTGTTTACAGCGACGTAGTATTTTACCGTCTCTCGTCACGCGAGAGATCCGCGGGGCTGTCTATAATTAGCGCTTTTGTTTTGGTGCATCGACACCGATTCGTCTCGGGAGGGGGGGGAACCTCCGAGAGACCGACGTTAATCCCCGTGACGACCCGCGCGGCGAACACGTCCTTTTTGCCGTCTCACGTGTGCGCGTCGGCCGTCGAGACACCCGAGCGACCTTCGTTCGCCGATCCGCGGTTCCTTCACTCGCCCGAAGCCCCGGTGCTCCGGCCTCGGGTTGCGAAACCCCGTCCGATGACTGGTTACTTTCGCACGAGTGGACGTTAGCGCGACCGGGGGTCCCACGAGATCGGAGCGCCTCTAGCAATCCGGGCGGCCGCGCGGAGACAGTCTGACGGCGCAAAAAAATGTTTATAATTACACAGTAGAGAGTACCGGCGGGTCCTCGCGCGCCCCGGTTTTGCACATATTTCACGTGGTGCTCTTTGCAGGGTAGGAGCAGAGAGCCCTTGCAGCGACATGAAGCGCGCGGCTGCAAAGAAACTCATCGAACGCTACTTCTACCAGCTCACGGACGGATGTGGGAATCCTCATTGTGACAATCAGCATTGTGCCTCCAGTGGCAAAGTATGACGTAGAGATCCGCCTCGTTTTGTTGTCGTGGATTAACGTTCTTTTTACTCATGTGCTTCGTTTTTGCGCACCAGGTGACTAATCTCACCCCGAATCAAGCGGCTGCCCAGGCGATACAATTGTTCTCGCAGGAAGCGAGACTTTGCGATGGGACGCAGCCAAGTAAAGTCGCTCGGACTACCATAGAGCCTGGACAGACGTCGTTAGCTAAGAGTCTACCTGTAAAAAGCGTTAATTCTACGAGCTCTGACGAAGGTACTTGGTCGCTCCGGTAAAGATACGTTTCTCGGGGGACGAGGCGTCCGATCGTTACGTCGGACGGTGCGCGAGAATGTAAACGTCTGACCGTTCGTTGGATCGCAAATAACGCATTCTCGTTTCTCCATCCAGGCAAGCAAGAGTCATATCTTACGGAAGCTAAACTTCTGGATATTATAAAGAAATGTAAAGCGGAGAAGTCGTATTCTCTGTTAATTCGTACTTTGGGAGAAGTGTTTTCTTCTGGAAAGGCGTTGAGTCTCAGCTTTCAAAAGACCGAGAAAAGCAATTCCCCGCTGACGGCACTTCTCGAACGGGCGCCGGACACTCTGCTGAGGCCGCCCGCGGATTTGAACAAGGAAGCGGTACGGTCCCTCCAGGGGGAGGATAAAGAGGAGGACAGCAGTGATCCATCACCTACAGTTCCTAATAATGATGATACTAGTGTCGATTTACCATCGGTCCGTAGAGCTTTCGAGGCACTTTGGTCTTTGCCAGGTGTGAGAAAACATAATTTTGTTTTAAACTGCCGCTTCAACATACTTCTCTTGCTGACTGAATCAAGTTAAATGTTTCCACGCTGAACGAAAGGCGAAAGAGGCGAGGCAAGTTCTACAGGCTTATCGTATTTCGATACAAATGACTTGGAAAATAAACGTATTATAAAATTGTCGCATCACAGGCAAAACGAAAACTACACGAGTTAGGATTTACGTTATCCGATCGGACGATTCGCAAGATACAAAAGTATAGGATTTACAAAGTCAGTGAAACAAGAAGGCATTGTGAGATCCGCTCTTTTATCCCAATGCCTTGATCGTTTAGTTTTTTCTTATAACGCGCAACCAAGAATGTGAGCGCACAATGCGATAGATAATTTTATAATATCCGTTAGACAATCAAGTTGAATTTAAGTAGAGCTGATGACAGGCGAAAACGTTTACCATCTGTCAAGTCATTTGTACCAGAATACACAACGATAAGTACAGTCTTATTCGCTGTGGACCTCAGTTTTACAAGGATTCACACTTTCATAATCTTCATTCCCTTTTATGCATCGATGAGTTTCAGGTTGTAGTTGACGCAGCTTCTATAGAAGTCTCTGCGGTAGTACATACAGCCTGAAACTCAGTGATTTTGTATAGATGAGAAAAATGAGGATAAGAATGCAGGTCCAGGCATTAATGAACAAGACTACGTGTAACTTGCTTCGAATCTTTCGCCGTTCGTTTGATTTTTATCTCAGGAGCCTTATTTTTTCAAATATTTCCTTCCACTTAATCAGGCGACGTGTTCGAGTCAGCCCTGGTCAATGCGCTAGTCACTTTGGCGGATGATATAGAACTAGATCTGAGAGTGTTTCGTATGGTACGCTGGGACAGTATGGATAGTTTGTTAAATGTGTTTCTCATTGTTTTTGAAATTCCGATGCTCGGGAATAGCGAATACTTGGAACTGGCCCTCCATATGGTGTGCAAAGCGTTGAGCTGCGTACCTGTATTGGCCCAAGCCAAGTTGGCACGCGTGTGGGCCAAGCATTGCAAGTCGCGGCTTCAATGTCTTCTGCAAGCGCTCCAAGAACTCATAACTGTCAAGGTACGTTCTCTCGACTTTGTCGAGATGGCTTTTGTCTCGCTTGCATAGGCCTCAACACGACTTGTGTGTCGCGTTACTTGTCTTCCGATCACAAGAGATTTGGTGTCGCATTACAGGTAATCGGAGGATCCTTCTCACGTGACTATTGCGTACAAGACGCAGACACTGTCACCGCACCTACGAAAGTTATGAAAATTCTATATTACGCGAGTATGTTGGCTGGTGAATTGGATCCACCCGAGCTGGTGTTGGGCGACGAGGGTGAATCGGCTAGTAGCGACAAGACTACTTCACGATCAGCGATATCGGGGCAGATCCCTCAGGTATCGTCTCTGTCGATAATTCTCAGCCTGTGGTGTATCTATTGCGTTATTTTTCTTGCGACGAGTAAAAACAATCTACGTTTCACAGGACCCATTAGCGACGGAATTAGGAATTACTGCGTTGGACGCGCGCAAACCTTTCATAGCATTTACTGATTTTTACAATGAGCCCCTTAGCGATGCCATAGAGATGGACAAAGATTTCGCTTATTACAAGAGCGAAGAGCCAATGAAATTTAGCTTCATGAATTACGCTTTCATCCTTACGCCGGCCACTAAAACTCTGGGCTTGTATTATGATAATCGTATCAGAATGTACAGCGAACGACGTATGAGCTTCTTGCAAACCGTAGTCGGGCAACCGACTAATCCATATCTCAGATTAAAGGTTTGTTGACTCGAAGACGGGGGTGAAGGTGACCAGCCTTGGGGGATCAGTGCATTTTATTATATTTTATTGAAACAGGTGCGAAGAGATCATTTGATAGACGATGCGCTGGTAGAATTGGAGATGGTGGCAATGGAAAATCCGTCTGATTTAAAGAAGCAATTGGTTGTCGAATTCGAGGGAGAGCAAGGTGTCGACGAAGGCGGTGTATCCAAGGAATTCTTTCAGTTAGTTGTCGAGGAGATATTTAATCCCGATTTTGGCATGTTTACCACTCAGGTGAGCACGACGGAAAAGCTAAGTAAGCTTGTATATCTTTACTTTTTCTGCCCTTGTTTCGTTCTTTCTGCCTTAGCATGGTTGACGCCTCTTCGTGTACGTTTGTAATTTAGTTCTACAAGACACTGTGCTTTATTTTAGGAAGATACGCAAATGACATGGTTCAATCCGACATCGTTCGAAAGTGACGCACAGTTTACATTAATAGGCATTGTCATTGGTTTAGCAATTTATAACAATGTAATTTTGGACGTGCGTTTTCCAATGGTGGTTTATAGAAAGTTGCTAGGCAGGAAAGGCGGTTTCCCGGATTTGGAGGATTGGAGTCCGACTTTATATCGAACGATGAAGGAACTAATGGAGTATACGGGGGATGACATGCCCGAGATATTTATGCAAACTTTCCGAGTTGGTTACAGGTACTGGCCTGCGGCAAGTCAATCGCGCACAAAATCTTACTGTATCTTCTCATTGTATCTCCTGTACAGGGACGTATTTGGTTCGCTCTCGTTCCACGAGCTGAAGGAAAACGGCGACGAGCTGTATGTCACACAGAAAAACAAAAAGGAATTTGTCGATCTCTACGCAGATTTCTTACTGAATAAATCCGTGGAGAGACAATTCAACGCCTTCAGACGTGGCTTCCAAATGGTTACGGATGAGAGCCCGCTCGCGTTACTCTTCAGACCTGAAGAGATTGAGCAGGTACAATCTTGATGTGCTACAAAGGATACGTAACATCGAACGGTTGTTCTAACGAGGTGATTTGACGTTTGCGTAGCTCGTTTGCGGAAGCAAAATATTTGACTTCGCCGAGCTGGAAGCGGCTACGGAATACGAAGGCGGTTACACGGTGGACAGCGAAGCGGTGCGTAACTTCTGGCGCGTAGCCCACTCCTTGCCACCGGAGAGTCAACGGAGGCTCCTTCAATTCACCACGGGTAGCGATCGAGTGCCCGTCGGCGGTCTTTCGAGACTCAAGATGGTCATTGCCAGACACGGCCCCGATTCTGACAGGTGATGCTTGCATTACGTCGATTATGTTTATCGATCGCTCATGGTTATCGTATATATTTTCAGATTGCCAATAGCACACACCTGCTTCAACGTGTTATTGTTGCCGGATTACAATACAATAGAGAAACTACAGGATCGCTTGTTGAAAGCAATCAATTATTCGAAAGGTTTTGGCATGTTATGAGCATGCTCCGTCGCTCCTCTTTCTTCCACCGTCTTTCGAATGAGAATTCGAAGTACACGATAAGACTCAATTATTTTTGTCATTTTATTCGTAGCTACATTATTCGGAAGTATTTATCGTATAATTCAAAACCGTGCCAGTGCGCTTAAACCACGGAAACGTTGCTTGTGCAATATGGATCATTAAAAGGTTCTAAAAATTCCAACGAATCAAAGATCGACTTCTTTGTACAAAAAAAAACATGTTCTTGAAAAATGCTTTGAAACTTGCACCACTGCAAGAGTCGCTTGTACCATACTGTGTACTTTTTCTACTATAGATAACGAAGATCAATTTCGTTGGCCATTCCGAAACGATTGAGGGAAGAAGTGCAAGAGACATTTCGAAACGCACGACTGCGTTGAGTGTAAAAACCGTACGGAATTATAGAAGTAAATATGTAAACTTTAGCGAAACATAGTCGACATAAACGGGATGCGTTTCGGGAACTCAATAGTTGCAACTGTGTGATTTTACTTCGAAATATTATTTTATTTATGAATTATTTTCTTATTACAAAGTGAGTTAAATTATAAAAAGAACTTTCTATCAAAGAGATTTATTAGCATAGGGCATAGGTTATCACAACTAATTCAATTTATGTATTTATAATAGAGACAAAATTTTAGTCAGAGAATTGGAATTTATTTTGTAAAATAATTAATTGAATGCATTTGTGGCAATATAATTCACATAGCATGCGACCTTAATTGGATGTACCTGTAGCAATATGATTTGCATAATATTTAACTAGTTAAATGACCGATAAAAGTAAAATTGATATTTAAAACAAAGTTTATTTTTCTTTATTGATTTGCGAAATTTTAATTTAATATTCTAAGGTTTTAGAAAAAGAAAGAGAGAGGCTTTCATTGTACAAAGTTGTTATGTCGTTTGGATATACTGTTTAGCTTCCTAAACGCATCTGATGCTGCAAAGCCGAAAACAACCCTTATACGAAACACACTGAGCTAATGTCACTCTGAAGAAACTTTTTTTTTTGTAAAGTAAGGCGTGAGATAGTGGCGCTTTTGTAAGTACTTTTCTTTCAATTTCTAACATTTTTCTCGTGTATCTCGCGTCACAGTGGTGATCAAGTAGTGAGGAGTAGAAGTTCACTTTGTATAAACATTTATAATAGGCAGCTCTTTAACGGCTGCCAGACATTGTCAGTCGTTTTATTGTTATTCTCACGTGACAATAAAGCTCTCAGAAAAAAAATTAACAAATAACTCCTACTCATTAGTAACTTTGTAGAAAGTTGAACAGTAAGTCGTCCAATTATCTCCTGTATCATTCGTTTCTTTGAGCAACTATACGAAGTGTTCTTATAAAAAATATATATATATTATTTTTTAAATTAAACTTAAATATGCACAGAATGTTCAACAAATTTCAGAAACTACGTTACTTATCAAATAGAAACAATGTGCATGAATTTTTGTATTATTTAGGCCTCTACATAATCTCTTTGCCTAGTTGAACGTTCGTATAGTGATTGGATAACTTTCAAAAAATTTATTTCTGGAATTATCTTCAGCTCACGTGTCACCGTCTACCGTTGTTCTGCGTTAATTACTTTCTAAGTAAGTTACTGCGCTGCAGCCCTCCCCTTTCCCTACTCCTCTAAACTTAGCGGACTTAGCCTTCCCCGAAAATAAAGATTCAATTGAAAAAACATTAAATTTTTTATTTAGCCATCCATGCAGCGGAAAAAATTTGCAACGACAGTCAAACAACAACAGCCAAGAATGGAAAGGAAAATGAAGTGCAATTTAACTCTTCTGACTACAGTACAGTGATTACAATAAAATTAAATTAGTCATACTTCAGTACACTAAAGAATTGAAATTCAAAGTTACACGAAGTCTAAGATCAAGGATGACCCCAGACTTCCAGCAACTCTAAATTGATGCCATGACTACACATTTCTTGTATGTATTGGGTTAAAACATCACTGAACATTCTTTAAATATTCTAAAATGTGGATCAAAAGTTTTCTAAATTTTAATTTTAATATTTTAACGGTTTTTTTAGGTTTTTTAATAATTTAACGTTTAAGCAAAATAGCGAATGTAAAACTCTTAAAAAGATTTTTTACTTAAAAATTCATAACTTTTTAAATTGTTAATATTTTGTGGGAAAAATTTGAATGGTATACTCCAGAGATATGATGCTTTAAGAACAAAATTAGCGCAATAGTGCGAATTTTATAGAAAAATAAGATGCACACTAATAAGTTGTCGCAAAGAAATGCACTTATTTATATAATTATTTTTACCCCGGCAATTTCTATTTAGCCGTAAACTTTCGCTGGTCAAAATGGCCCCAGTGGTCAAAATGACTTTGAAGGACTGAAATAGGAGAAGATAAGTAAATGAAATTAAAAGTAAATTGATACACAAGCATCACAAGAAAATAATAAATAAGAACAAAGAATATGATATATAAATAAATCGTTGAAAAATCTGGATTAAATTTTGGGATTGATACGTGCTGAAAGATGTGGACCTCCGCGTCTTCGCACAGGGCGATTCGAAACAAACGTTTGTCGTGCAATTAGAATGCACTCTCTTGTCCGAAGCTTAGTTTGTCAGAATTAAACTTTCTCCTGAATCACCCTGTATAACGTGCCATTCCAACGCGACGACCAATCAGTACATAACACGCCTGCTTACTATTCGAGAGTACCGTTCGAAAGAAATATAATCTGACGCGTGGCCTGTACACGTGTTCGTAGCAAAACCCCCAGTTTGCCTTCGTAAAACTATATTTCTGTAATGCCCGATTTCTTCACATCCTTAAGTTATGTTGCGGTTAAAGTTAACCAGGAGATCAACTACCAGATCCATGCACATGATTGGCTAAAACTTGAGATTAACCTTCGGATAATTTTATCGGGAAGTGATAAAATCGGCCATAAGAAATTTTGGTAATCTCTCTGCGCGCAGTTTTACGTCACGGTGCACGAGTAGTCGAGTGTGATGCGTTTGCTACAGGAATGTAAACCGGAAGTGAAAAGTCTCCAGCGAGATGCACCATTCTCAAGTTGCATATAAGAAACTTGTTAGAAATCTCGGCTGTTTTCAGCCGAGTTACACGCGTCGTGTCCCCCTAATTGGCTCATGTATCGAATACGAATCGCACGCACACCCGTTGATTTATTTACTTCTTGTATTGGAGAAATTCTAAGGGCAAGCTCGTTTCCCGCTTTGTTTACCCAGCGCGTGACTCATCTATTGTAGTGCTGATAAAGTCGGAGCACGAAGTGTAGGTTCTTCCCCGCAGCAGAGATCGGGGAACCACGTCTTCGATTTCAGTCGCGGCGATTGCCATCGTGCAATATATTCCTCGTGTGCCTGGAAGAGAGTAAAAGAGCAATAGAATACGAGATAACGACGTGGAATGTCTCGATCTTGCACGAATAAACGAAGAACATTGTGACCGAGAATAAGCCGGGAGGACTGCGTCAGACGATCTATTTCTCTTTTCCTGCGACATTGTTGTCAGTGGTGTCATTGGTAAGAGAGCATTCTAGAAAATTCCCTTGGCAGACGAGGGAAAGATATTTTACATGTGAGAAATGAAGAAAGGCGATATTGTTTCGTTGTCATAGTCGCGATCGGAATTTCGGTGAAATCCCGCCGCGGTTCCTGTGTTCTTCTTCATAAACCACGCCGCATAAATTTAATTTAAACGGGCTCAACACTAGCCAATTGTGTTCAACGTCTGAATATTCTTTTTTTAAACTGTATTAATATAGGAGCAGTCCCCTATTATGAGATAGGCTCCTAATACGAGATATCGAACCCAGTAAGAAGCGATTCGTGAATCAACAAGTTTCGACACGGTTTCGACATCGTTTCGACATCGATCGACAAGTCATTTCCCGCTGGGAAGTTTCTGCTAAATGAATAGGCATTATCTGTTGGTTTCGTCAGCCCTTTGCTCCTCCTAGGTTCTATAGGAATATATACATCTGTTGGTTCCACTGTGAATCTATTGGAGTGAAAAATTGATTAGTGAAAAATTGTTTAGTAAAAAATTGTTAGATAAAGGTTCCGTGATTAAACGTGGACGTTGAGAACCTAATGTCTCATTACATTCCCAGTCAGCAAAATATTAGCAGACTGGCAGCAGATTTGTCAGAAGCCCACACCAAGACCCACAGCCGTCTGTGTCCGCATTTGGCTTTTGTTTTGGCAACAGTCTGCAAAACATACGCTGTCAATTGTCGACAGAAATCGAACAGGTCCAGTTGTGCGAGCAGATTTTGTCGTATTTCCGCTGACACGCTGGTAAACGTGTCAAATATATCAGTTCTTGTGTGCAATCCGCAGTCTTTCTGCCTTCAAAATTCGTAGTGGGCATTTGACGAAATCTGTTCTGGTAGATTTGGCTATCTGGGTTACAATAGTATATAATACCATATATAATAATAATAAGTGTACAATAGTAAATGCATAATATATAAGATGAATTGTGCATATGTGTCTGCTTTCTCATCCATTTTTTAAAACACACATTTTCTGTCTCTACTGCAGAAAAATGGCAGGCACTAAGTCGGCAATTAACACGTTACAAGAGATATCGATAAAGCAAGGATATATGCCTATGTACAATTTTCTGGAGAGGATCGATGGAGGAAAAAACAGCTCTCAATTTATATGCAACGTGTTTTGTAAACAATTGAGCGCAAATGGTGTAGGGAGTTGCAAAAAGCATGCCAAGCTCGATGCCGCGAAGAAAATGCTGTTGCTGTTGGGCGCAAATAATACTGTCCCGTTCCCGGTGGACGCTCGATCGTCACCTTCAGTCGCAGACGTGAAACAAAGCCCTGCGAGTGCCTGCGAGGCGTCCCCATCGTCAACGTACGGCGCACAGCCAACCGTTCACTGTAACTACATCGGAATGTTGCAAGTAAACCTCCCGAGTTACTCATGAAACGTTGCAGTTCGAAGACCGCTCGTCGAACGTAATCGTGTAACATAATCTTCGTTCTGTGCGCAGGAATTCTGTCAGCAGCAACGCATCTCGACGCAAGAGATTGTATACAAGCTGGTCTACGACGAAGGGCTGCCTCACTTGAAGACGTTCACGATGGAGGTCCAGTTGGGGAAATTATCGGAGAGGGCCACGGCGCAGTGCAAGAAGACCGCCAAGCAAGAGGCTGCAAAGAAGTTGTTGCTGCAACTGAATCCAAGCATAGTTAAACCAAAGGTAGCTAGCGTACCTAACGCAGATGCAGATATAACAAAGGGCCTGAGTCAGCTGAACCTGTGCAACAAGAAGGAAGAGCTCGAGAGCAGTATACGACAGTTGGGTACAGGGATATTGGACTGTGTGACGAAAAAGGAAGCGTCGGATAAGGCCAAGGTGCTCTATCTCGAGCACACTAAGAAAAAGTACACGATAAACGATCAGGCGGCCAGTGCCTTCGGGATCAAAGATCTTCATATGTTATTTGAGAAGAATTACTGCGGCAAGTCTGCGCACAACGTCCAAGAGAGAATGCGGTCTATACGGGACGGGTATGCCCGTCGTATGGATTTTCAACAGGCCAAGTGGGACATCGAGGCCTTATTGGAGGCCGAGATACAACAAGTCGTTATGAGCAGCGTAACGAAGAACCACATAATGTGCCTGCGTCTCATGTCCGCGCCTCGCGTTACGCAAATGGGCATAGGCGAGACTAAATCTGTGGCGCAGTTTCGCGCCATGTGTAACCTTATAAACGCTATCCTGATACTGCTGAATGTTTGAGACCACGCGCCGCTAGGTACGTCGGCTGAGTTATAGAGAATTCCGCACAAACGTGAGACAGTTTACGGTTAATGTACAACATTACGCGTGTAGCCTATCCTATGTAACGAACGTGCGTTGCATCGTTCGTTACATAGGATAAATCGAATCTATTTTGCACGTAGAGTATTTTTGTAATTAAGATGACAAGAGCGCGACACGTGTGCATTTTTAACGAAACGTTGAGACTTGTGTCGAAGACGCTGCTAGTTTACGAGGAAGCATCTCGCGCGAGTCGAACTTTCGCTGCTCTCTGACCCGATTCTCGAAATCGTTCGATGAAGAAACGTACACGAATATTCTGCTCCGACAGGAAAGTCGAACGTCGACTGGCTAAAGCCACGCGAATAGCCAAATACGTTTCTCCCTCGAGTAAATTCAAGAATCGAGCCCAAGGGCCACCTTAACCTTCTCCGGATTAAACAGTTCTAGGAGCAGAAGGTGCCGAGAGTGCAGAATCACTCCAGCCTCCCCCTCCTCTTAGCTGCACTTGCTGCACCGCTCGTCTCCCCTCTCTGGCGAGAAGTTCAGTTGAATGTAGGTCTGTTCTTTCCAGCTGAACTAGCTGCACCGGTTCAGAGTTTGTCTCTTTCCCTCCCTACCGGAGGGGAAAGAGACAAACTCCGAGCTGGTGCAGTCGGTTGAGCTATGTAAAAAAACAGACCCGAGATCGAGCCTCGTGTAGCTGCTTGGCGCCAAGCTCGTCCTCGTTTGCTTCGGTCGTGGCCTCTGTTTACGAGGTTCAGCGGCGATTGTGTGCGCACGCGAGATATCAGTTGTTACGTCGGTGAGTTTGTCGAAACGTCGAAATGTCGGACGTGCGTGTTCTGGGCAAGCGATTGGGGCAACGCGTCGGTCAGGAGGCGATCGTGCTTGGCCGAATCACGGAGGTACGAAAATGTTTTAGGTTACGGCCGTCGCCGGCAATTGTTGATATTACGCCGGGACGCGATGGTCACGTTTACCGCATTTCGTTGTATTAAATGTAAATTATTATTATTAAATAAACAGTATTTGTGCCATACACCCGTCAGTAGGGGGGGGGGGGGGGTCCCCTATTATAAGATAGACTTCAAATGCGAGCGGAGGTTCTGCTAAATTAATGAGCATCCGTCGATTCCGCCGCCCTCGCGGCGAATTTGTTCAGTGAAAAATTCACTGCTGGCTTGTGTAATCGTGGCGAAGGAAGATTTGCGATTGAATTTGGGTGTCGAGAACCTGCTATCTCGTAATCGGGGATTTTCCCCTCTACATGTCTCCATAAAGTCACTCGAACGAATCTTCTGCCGGTTTTTTGTTTTGTTTTGAACAGGCGTTCGGGGAGCCAAATCTAAGGGTGTATTCGATGGACAATCGAGTGCCAGAGAATCGCCTAAAATGGCACTGTCTCCGATAAAGTTTTCACTTGTATTAATATTGGTGATTTAAAGCGCGCGTTTGGTGCACAATTTGCAGAAAAGTTCGGACGGTATGAACGCGGAGATCACGACGACGGACGACGCTCAAATTAACGTGACGTTCCCCGAGCCGCTCGACAGCAACGCGTCAGGCTACATAGAAGTGCGCGGCACGGTCAAGTCCAAGTCTACCATGTCCTGCGGTAACTTCGTGTGCTTCGCTCCGGACGTGACCAAGGACTTCGGTGAGTGAGATCGTTCATCTAGTTCATCGGGCGTTGGCGTCCTTAACGAAGCGGTGTTTGTTGTAGATGTAAACAGCTATAATACAATGGTGAACATGCGCTGCGCAGTGGGGAATCAACTGGAGGGAGTGTTCTACGGAGATTAAGAGAAAGCGGAGGTCCAAGAAGCTCACATATACAAACTGAGTTTACTACGTATTTCATTTCTTTACATTCTTCTTTTTACATTCTACCGTCTGATGTCTGGGGCACGTTACTCCTACCGTAAAAATAACAAGGAATGCTGCGTGTAAGTGTAAGAGAAGACCACTCGAACATGCATTCCCTTGTCTGTACATAAAATCGACCGGGCGGGACCTGATAAAGTGCACAAAACATGCGAAATCATAGAGTTGTAATAAACATTGTCTAGTTTAACTAAATTTTTAACTCTGTTCTTCTTCAAGATACAAATCAATTACAGTGTAAACGCCTTTACTTTAAGGACCTGGCACAGATGGGGGGAGGGGAGGGGAGGGGGGTTATCTTAAGAAATGCTATGTACAGCATTTTTAAAGGTAATTTAGGAAAATCGCTGTACGATATTGTAACACGTGAATTCACTGACGACAATGATTTCATCTGAGGGGAAAACACCTGTGTACGTCCGTTTGTGATGGTGCACAGAACAGGATGAAATAAATACGGTGTACACGTGATAATTCAAGTGGCCACCTCCATCTGTGCCAGGTCCTTAAAATAAAGGCGTTTACGCTGTAATTGATTTATATTATATAGAAGGCAGCAGCCGCGAAAGCTTGAGAGCCAAGGATAACTTTCTTCTATTCTATCTCAAAAATAGAAGAAAGTTATCCTTGGCTCTCAAGCTTTCGCGGCTGCTGTCTTCTTCGGTCGTAATGGCTTCCGGATGGTTGCCGCAACCGTTTGTAGTGTGGTCCGGCGTTTCGCAAACATTGCAGTTTGCATTATCGGGGCTGGGAGACTCTGATACTGAGCTCCCTTGAGTCGCGGTAGTCCTTAAATAATCGTCTCCCCATTCTTGTGGAGTCTCCCAGCCCTGATGATGCAAACTACAATGTTTGAAGAAAGTTATCCTTATTACGAGACAAGTTCCTAATATTGAAATAGCGGTGTTTCTGTTGAACAAGCATCGTTTATTAGTTCCACCATGAATTTATTGCTCTTGAAGTGAAATCCGTTTGGTGGGAAATTGATTGTTAGATCGTGTAACCGTCGCGGAAGATTTGCGATTGAATTTGGACGGTGAAAATCTGCTGTCTCGCATTAAAAGCCCATCTCGTAATAGAAGACTTTCCGCTGTACATATATGATAATATTTCAACATTCTCGTCTATGATTATACCTATGTCACAGTTGCGTTACGCGTGTAATCCAAGGACGAGCAGCGACAGTTGCAAGATGTTACGGGGCATTCAGTGTGTTGTCTGAAACACACCGGGAACGGAAATCAATAGTGTTACAGGTCGCGCGTATTTTCATCTCTCTTCCAAGGTTAATACGTTCCGATACATTTATATTTTGTTAATCTACGTTAATATGTATTCAAGTCGGCATGGGCGCAATCTCGTATTCTTACCGAAACCACTGAGCTATATGTCCGTTGTGTCCGCCGTGCTTGCATGTTAGGCACCACGAGAACCAGCTATTGAATTCCGTAAGCTTGGTATTGCACTCCTCGGTTCTGGTGCCACCGGGACTGGGAGCTGTTTGTAATCCGCTGACGGTGCCTATGTGCATCAGGCATATTGCGCAACGCGGCAACGGTTTGCGGCAATTCGGGCATGCCGTCATCTATAATCGAAAAGGACGATGAGAAAAGATCTCGAGATCTGGCGTATAACAATTTTACGAGATCTCGCAGCTAAAGAGCAGAAATGTGCCTTTAATTTGTTAGGAGTGCTCCCTAATCTGCCGAACGGGACCCTCGTCCTGCTCAGTCCTTGCATGGAAGCCGATATGCTTTTGCCGCAGAAGTGACAAGACACGTGTATCTGTTGCGGCGGTCTCTCCTGCGGCGTCGAGGACCTCATGGCAATGTCAAATTTCGCTCTTTGAAACCACAGTTTCCACGCGTTCAAGAGATGTCTGTAACTGTAACATACAAAGTCAAAAACCTGATTATTCGATATTTATGAGAAAGAGTGGATGCGCAATGTGCGAGGGCGCGGTCGGCTTATAATTGGCGGATTTAATTATGATCCTGTGTATGTCGGTTGGAGAATCGCGGACCGCGAGTGAAGGAAAATGGTGCAACTTGTTTCGGGGAAACATCACGTTTAAAGACGATATTTGTGAGAAAAGCTTGATCAAAGTACCTCGTAATCCACACTTGAACTTGATTCTCCTGAAGCAGCTTAGGCGGAAAAGTTCTGATAGCGATAAGAGTACAACTCTGAACGTCCGAGGTGATTTCCAGGTATTTACTCAATAACTGTATACTTTCCATACTAGCACCTAAAGCGCAACGATACGTTATAAACGAGCACGTGGTTAACATGAGATATTTATAAAGGTACAAGACATATTCGGATCAAACAACCTGTAACCAAGAAGCCCGCTAGATCTCCATCTTCAATTACCTTCTGGGTCAGTTTTTTCAAGTACTCATGCAGTTTGTTATCCGACAAGAACATGAGGGCGAATGCTACTCGATCTTCGACGGCCATACCATTTTCGTTCTACAACGTCGAGTTTGTTAAGCGCCTGATATTGATCTCGTTGGATCATGATGCTTCGTCTTGGCATATTTGTGCCATACTTACAAGTACGCTTTCGTAGGAATCGTTGTCCGCGGTCAAGAAACCGAACGTCGCTCTCAGATAAGGGTCCGATAACTGCGATTTAGATTTCTGACACGATTCTCTCCACAATGTGGTGCGTTCCTCAGAGAAGCCTGACAATGCCATAGCTACCATGTTCAGAATGGTTGTTTGCTTCTTGTTGGCGCCTCGGTTTAAAATGTCTATCGCCTGCCTCAGACAGAGATTGAATACCGCGAATGCGGCTGCCTTCGCATACGCGCCTTCCCTCTCGAGCTTCTCCAGATACGCGTTATCGTACGCCGTATTGGTTTCCCAGTCAAATCGTAAACCGCACAGAAACAGACTCCTTTCTCTATCCGACGATCTACGATTGAAATTACAATCAAGCACCCATAACGTCTCGGTACTTTTATGTACTCAAACAGTCGACAATTACCTGTAGACCTTTGTCATATAACCAGATCCTATATCTGTCCACGGACGATGAATCACTTCCGTTTTCAGGCCATTGGTTGGATTTTGCTGACCCAATTTCAAAACTGTCCTATGTAAAAGTTGGAGACATTACGTTTACATAATACTTCCAGCTGAAAGGCATTGTAATTTTACCTCACACCGGGATGCTTATTATCGGGACTCTGTATAGTGCCGTCTTCTACCAAAGAGCGACTCAAGTACAGCCATTGCCATAGATTCTTTAGAGTTTCGTTCTCGGCTATGTCACCATTGTGAGCTAACTCCGGCTGTAAATAATGCACATATAACTATGTACCGATTAAATATAATCGAGAGTAGAAATGAAGAACAGGAAGCTGATACAAGCCAAAGGCAAAATGGAATGCCTAGCCACTCACAAGCAAACCATATTCAAACATGGCACGCCTCTTGGTTAAAACCGAGATATCGTCTAATTCCTTATAAACGCTGTCTTCACTGTGTATGTATTTAAATGACTTGAAAGCGCAATTCCACATGAGACACGACCGAGCGGACCAATTGAGCGTTATTCTCTCAGATACAGTGTAATCGGTTACACCTGTGAAACGAGGAACGCTATAATAACTTTGAACATCGCAACGGATTATGTTCCAAGATAAGGTATCGGAGCAAACACACCTTGCAGCGAAATCGCCAGCAATCGATTCTCATCGGTCGGATGCCACGAAAAACTGATGGGACTGTGCCACGGGGGTAAGACCACTCTTTCCAGAACACCCGGCTCGGTGTCCTCTGCTCCGCAGTACTGAATGTCAAACAGATGCAAGCCAGCTGTAAATTGAGAATAACTTCTGATTCAGCTTTTCTTTTTGTCGCCAACAGCGCGTGTCTCAACATGTCCAACATCAATTTCGACAGAACTATACATACAGTACCGGCGAAAATGGTATCATCTTTCGATTTTCTGAACACAACTAGTTTTAAAGTGCACGAATGAGAAATTCGAAAAACATGCTGTAGTTCGTCAAATTTCATTACCCTTCAAATACAAGTTGGACACCTGTTACCAGGTGTCTGTAAAATTTTGAACACATTCGATGCACTTTGACAAAAGTTATGCGGGTTCTACAATGCGAGTTGCGGAATCGCAGTCGTAAGGATAATCGACAGTAATTGGTCAATTCAGTCAGACACATAAGAATTGACCAAGATTGGGAAGTAACTAGTTACTTGTAACGAAGTTACAGCCCATACAGCACCAAAGCTTTCAGAAACATTTCAGAAAACATTGTTGCAATGTTTCTGAAATGTTTCTGAAAGCTTTGATGCTGTATGGGAGTTACAGTTACTTTTTTTGGTAACTCTAACTTTGTTACTTTCTCTCCATCTGTAACTGTAACTCAACTCAGTTACATTCCTTCGACTAGTAGCTAATTTAAGTTGTAGGAAGTAAAAGTAGTAGCTAATTCAAGTAGTAGTAAGTAAAAACTAGTAACTACTTTAAGAGTTGTTTTGCATGTATTTTAAACCTCGACAGATTACATTAGGCCTTGCATTTGCGCATAAACGCCCTTATCGACACTTTACAATTCAAATGCAGATTTGACACTTTTATTTTCATTGCAAGAAAGTAACTGCAAAGTAACGCTTCATTATCTTTTGAATAACTGTAAACGCGTTACTTTTCAGAATTGATAACTTGTAACTGCAACTAGTTGCATTTTTAGCAAAAAAAACTGTAACTAGATGCTTTTGAAGTAACTTTCCCAACTCTGGAATTGACCAATCCATAGTCTACTATTCTTCCGACTACGACTCTGAGGCTTGCATTGTAGACCCCGCATTAGGCTCAGAAAACCTAAAGGTGATTTAACTTCGGCTGGTACTGTGTATACGCGCGCTAATTATGTAATTGCAGCTTACAAACGCGTACGCAATGTACCTGAGTCCTTTTGTAGCGTGCCAATTAGATTTCGTCTAGTGGGACACCACAGCACCTTCGTGACCTGCCGCTGCGGCATTATAGTAACGATCGGTTTCTCGAAGCACCGAGTGTCCCAGATTGTTACCAGATTGTCGACGTGCGAAAGCAGCTGATAATTGTTATGGGGATTCACCGACAGATTATATATCGCCTTTGTGGGAGTAACGTTCACCACCTTTGCCGAGTCTGAGGGAAATTCAAGGAGTATTGAAACCGTACGAGGATGACGTCTTTCAAGAACATACCTCTAAAGTCGATAACTTTCAACTGCTTGTTGTTAACACCGAGAGCCAGGCATCTCGGCTCGTGCTTGAACCAAGCGGCGGAATGTACGGTTTCTGATATGCCGGCTTCTACTATCGGCCGCTCCGAGCCCTTCGGGCAGTGGTGCACGTCCCACAGCAACACGGAGTGCTCCTTGCTGTGCTTGTCCAGGCCCGACATAATCAGGTGGGTGTCGACGGGATTCCAGGCAACAACGTTGCACGCCCGCATATACTTTGGAACTGGAATTTTATCGAGTTATTATGTAACGGCGCTGCCGAAACACGATCGCGCTCGATAACAAGTGTAACGTAATGATCTCTACAAAATTCTCTGCCGACCAGGCCCTGGTAATCGAACTCGGGCGGGCTGAGGGTGCTCAGGACTATCTTCCCATTCGCGTGGCCGCTGGCAACGATGTCCGGCTCCGGCTGCGGATATACGTCGACGCATTTTGCGTAGCTGTTGATGGTAATGGAGCAGACCAGCTCGGCGACTGAGTGCTCCGAGATCTGCAGATCTGCAACGGTAAGGGCAAACATGCGTGAAACGTCCTTTCTTTTTAACGGGCGCGCGAGCTCGGCGCGAAACGAGAACTTACAGGTTTGATCGCTGTCGCGCACGCAGTTGTCACGCGGCCCGATCTCGTAGAGGTTCAACAGCGTGTCGCTGTCCCACGTGATAAATCGGTCCGAGTGAAAGGGCGACCACAGCACGTCCCATTTCGGTCGGCTCATCTTTTCCTCTGCCTCGTTATCGCGCTTCTGTCATAAGACCGCGGGACATCGCGCGTTTACCTCGCGCCCGCCGACATCGCGCTCACCGACGTCGAGACGTTTACGTACAACCTGAGCGACACGTATCGCGGTCGCAGTTCCGTCGCGCGAAATCCATTCAGCCGATCGACATGCCAAAGATACGTCGTCCTCTGTTATCCTCGGTCGTTTGTTATGATAATCCGTCCCTTGTGGAACATGCCCTTTGGATGTTTACGTTTATCATGCCTCCCGACCTCTTGCGTCTCCTCTCGCGGGAATTTTATCAAGCTCACCAAGCTCTACCCCCGACGCCGTCCCCCCCTCCCCCCAGCAACAACTACCCTAGATAGACGAACCATAGACGTATAATATATAGACCTAGTTTACATCGTGCACTTGATACGCGTATCAAATAGTAACAAATAGTAAATAACTAGTAAATTCGTTTGGTCATTGGCTGATCAGTTCAAATACAAATAATTATTTGATACGCGTATCAAGTGCACGATGTAAACTAGGCCAATGTCCACGATGCTAGAACTTGGACCAAGTTCTAGCATCGTGGACATTGGCCTTTACGACTACGACTTTACGACTTCTATGTAGACGAGGCTTAAAGCCTCCGCTACAATGATTCTCGGTTCTGTCTACAATGGTCGTAGTCGTAAGAATAATCGACTGCGATTGGTCAATTCAGTCAGTCGCATAAAGCCTCCGCTACAATGATTCTCGGTTCTGTCTACAATGGTCGTAGTCGTAAGAATAATCGACTGCGATTGGTCTAGAGCTACTAGATAAAGGGGAGCTGACTCGTCCGCCATCTTGGAGCCCAAACGTTTGACTTCGACAAATGCATTTCGGCACAAGATATGAATTTCTTGTTCTAAATTTATTGTTAATAAAATCCAAATTACGTTTTTGTTTTTGGAAAGCTATATTTTTAATTAATTATTAAAGCTATATTATTAATTTAATTTGTAAATAAATAAAAATATAGCTTTCCAAAAACAAAGACGTAATTTGAATTTCATTAACAATTAATTTAGAACAAGAAATTCATATCTTGTGCCGAAATGCATTTGTTAAAGTCAAACGTTTGGGCTCCAAGATGGCGGACGAGTCAGCTCCCCTTTATCTAGTAGCTCTA